CGCGGCGGCGCCGCGGGCCCAGGAAAGCTAGAGAGTAAGCGCAGAATAGCCCGAAACATGGAAAAACTTGTGCTTCACATGGGGGAAAGCAAACAGCTAGGAAAACCTGTGACTGTCGCTACCCAGATGATCTACAATCGCAGCCTTTCTGTAATGTTGCTAGTATTACATCGTCTGCGCCTTATGACAATGAAAGACAAAGGCTGTCATAATTGTTGTCTTGTTTTCTCGTGTGAAAGCGCTATTTTTCATGTGTGTCATGTTTCCTTGTCGTTTTGTCTGCTTGTTCTCCTCGCTAGCTTTACGGGCCCCACGGAGCCGCCACTGCATTCCCTACAATTGAACCCCTAGTATAAGGCCGCCGCGTAAGGCACCCCCTTGAACCAGCTGCCACATAAGGGTGCCGATCCATCACGCTTCAAATCCGCGCGCCAGGCAGCCGCAAAAGGATCCTTTTGTAAAGGCCGCGACAACAGGATTCAAAGCTAGATCGTCTGCATCCTCAGCATAGCGCCAGTCGCAGGTGTTCCTAGCTTGATCTTGCTTCCCCGGGTGAAAACACACGCAGTATATTGCGTTTTCCGGTGTGTCGAGCTTTCCTCTCTAGCATTTCCTGCAACTCAAACCGCATAAGACCGCGAGAAAAAAAAAGAAACCTTTGCGCCAGCTTCTACAAAAGGATTCTAAGTGTAGAGGCCATTGCAGACCCCCCACGATGGAACTTTTTGTTTATGTAATGTCGCCGCAAAAAACGCCCCTTGTGCAAAGGCCGCGAAACGCGAATTTAACTTGTTTGGTCATCAGCGCCCTACAAATTCCATAGCGACAGTCGCAGGTGTGCCTAGCTTGTTCCTGTTTTCCAATTTTGAAACATGCTTGTTTCATGTGGTTTCTGTTTTTGTTTTCTCGTTTTCCTCTCTAGCCCCCCTGGCCCCGCGTCGCCGCCGCTGCAGACCCCCCGCGCGTGGAACCTTTTAGCAGGGCCGCCGACAGAGGAACGCCTTTGTACAGGTTGCTACAAAAGGATTCTAAGTGCGGAGGCCACTGCAGATCCTCCATGCTTAAAATATGTCTGCAAGGTCGCCACATAAGGGATCGCCATGTAAAGCGCATTGCAGAGGGACCTTGGGAGCAGAAGAAAGAACGGGGAGATGAAGTAAAACGAAGACGACGAACATGCATGATGAGTAAACTGATGGTCCATGGCGTTCCAATCGCCTGGGAACCTAAAAACACTCGGTTGCAATCGCGCGAACGGCGGGCCCAACCCCCCCCGCCCCCCCGCGGGGGCTCAGCGACTTGCCGGCCGTTGGGCGCCACCCCCGCGCGCATTTGCGCTCGACAATTGCGGGGGCGAGGCTCCAGTGCTCAGCTGCGTCGACTTCGCGCGGCGCCCCGACGTCCCCGGGGCCCGCGGCAATGCGCTGCGCGAAGTCCCCGGCCTGGGAACCCTTGCGTGCTTCATCGGCCTACGCACGGCTCGATTCCGATCGGCGATCGTTTGCCTGGCGCGATGGCGCGCGCCGGGTCAATGGGGGGCGGGTGGGGCCCGGCGCCTGCCTCGGGGCTCGGCCGCCGCGCCGGGGGCCATCATCGGCCGACTGGGCGGGATCAATCGCGACTCAGCGCTGCCCTCGTCGGAAGGGCGCCCCCCGAGCACTAAGAAGACGCCCGCTTCGCCCTGCCGGCTGCTTCCGCGGGGGTCGCGGTTGAGCAGCCGTGAAACCTGCGACCTCCGTCCGAAGATAATCGCGCAACCCGCGGGGCGGGTCGCGGCCGGGCGCCCCTGCCTCGCGCCGCTGCGAGGTCGGCCCAGCGGCCCCCGCGCGCCGCGGGAGAGACGCCGCGCTATAGACGCCCGCGCGAACCACTTGAGAGCGAACGCTTAGATCTCCGAAATCACGAACTCCGACCCGGATCGCAGCCCAGAGGCCTCGCTGGGGCCCGCGCGGGCGCGGGCCCGCCCGCGGCAATCTGCGCGCCCCGAGCCGGCGTTTTCAATGGCGGCGCGCGCCTCGAGCGGAAGGGCCGCCACTGGGAGGAGCTGGATGGCGGCGCGCAAAAGCTGCGCATCATGAAACGGGAGGAGCCTGCGCTTGCGAACAACGCTGCAGCGCGCCCCCCCTTCGAGCGGCGCTCTGCGCGCCCGGCCGCGAGCGCGACCCCCATGTCTGATCCCGCCAGAGATGCCGAGCCCACCGCAAAACTTCCCCCGCCACGGCGGCGAGGCCTCGCGCTGAGGAGGCAGCCGCCCACGCCCGGCCGCCGCCCGCGCCTATGCCATCGCGCGAGAACGCCCGTGCGAGCGCGCTTGCTCCTGCGATGGTCGCGCGCAAAAACCAAGCGCTAACTCCCAGACAGCAGCGGGGCAGTGCGAGGGCCCGGAAAAGACGAATGAGCGAAAGCAAAAAGAAGGGCGCCGCGGCGACGGCGCAGAAACCGGGCGAAGACCCGAGGCCCGAAGACCAAGCCGCAAATGGCGTTTCTGGAGCACGGCTGGGCCCAACTTACGATTGCCCATCGCGATGCCCATGATCTGAAGCCAGGACGATTCATTGCAACAACAATGTCACCAAGGGCGGCTTGCGCTCGCCCAGACGGAGTGCCCTGCGCACGCGATGTGACCCATCGGCTTCCGGGCGGCATTTATGCGTGACCGCCCTGCTTCTCGCGACAACCAACTGTCTGAGATACGATCGACGACTGCACTAGCCCGCTCCAGTAATTAGTCCTTGCCTCCTGAGGACTTGCTTCTGCCAGAAGAAATGTGAGTATTGCGTTGATGGTATCCTTCCCGTCTGCACGAGTGAATCGCCATCACAAGACAAATCGCCCACGCCGGAATCGATGACGCCGGTCGCATATAGACCGCGGCGAATTTTCGGACCGAAGCGCGTCAACTTACCTACTCGGAGCCAGAGGAGTACCGAACCTGAAATCTGCATTCTGTAGCGTGTGGGTCGCCTGCATCACGCATTTCCGAGCCTGTGCCGTCCGTCGCTGTGTATGGCGGAATCCCAACGGTTCCCTACGCCCGCTGCTGCTGCACGATGAGTTGCAACGCTTGACCTCCTGTTGGCCATCGTTTTCTGGGGCTCCGTGACATTTTGACTGAGCGCGTCAAAGAAGTTGGTGCCGTTTCCTGCCTGCGCCGCCGTCGGTGCTGATGCCATCACCTGCTGGATCCTGCCCGTGGCCTCGTCAACAGCCGCTCCTGTCGTACCACCTGGTTCACTTGAGGTTGCTAATGCCGCCGGCCGTGCGACACTGACTTCACCACTGGCGACCTCGACCATTGCTTTCGCCACGTCGAGATCCGTAGTCTTGCCTCCAACTCGGCGCAAAAAAAAAAAAAAACAAACCCAGGCATTGTAAACTGTCGACAGAACTCTCCTCAGTACTAACTCGACCCCTGGCTCTGCTTGGAAGGTCGTCTGGCTTCCTCTGCTTGCGCTCTGCAGGTTGAACATCAGTACGGTGTTTGTGTGCCGCCAATACGGCATGATTTTTTTCGTCAAGCCCGAATCGCTGAACGACCCCAGAGCACGCCTGGTTTTGATGACCTCCGGCTCCTCTGCCTCCTCCCTGAGGCTCGTCACGTCCAGCGCGGGATGGCCAAGAAATCGATCGTGGGCGCTGACACCGACGCTGACGAGACAGTGGTCTTTCGGGATCTGGCTGACCGCTCCTTTCTCTGCCGCACACGTGCCAGTGGACATTCTTGCAACAAAATGCTATTGAAACCCGCGCTGGCGAGTAACGAGGCGCGACCACGTAGGTTCTCGCGCGCTACCCGCATCATCTTGTTGCTGCTGCTTGTCGCGCCTTTTGTAGCACTCGTCGGTAATCTCGAACCGTGATGATCAAATATCAACTCCACTGCCGATTCAACGCTGAGGGACTTCCTCGCCCACCTGCGCCTGCGACCCAGACGCCCGTCCCAAGCTGCAGATCGGGACCGAATTGGAGATACAATGTCTCGTGTCCCACTCCGGGGATCGAAGGCTGAGTTCCACCCCCGCGTTGCCAGACCCGCGGGCCCCAGCCTGCTCAGTGCTGGAGCCTGGTCGGCACGGAAACGATCGCGCGCGCAGGGAGGCGCGGACTGGGGCCGTGGCCGTCGGACTGCACCGAAGGAACGCCTCGGGCCACAACGCCTGAAGAAGGGGGGACGACGGGAATGCCAAGGAGGGGGGGGGGGGAGGGCAAGGCCAGCGCCTCCCCCCACCCTCCTCCCCTCCATGAGGAGGCGAGGGGTGGCGAGGGGTAGCACTGGAGAACAACGAGGACGAGCGCACATAACAACCATAAAGTCAGCAGCCTGTGCTCAGGAGGAGAGACGAGGAGAAGGAGGAAGAGGAGGAAGAGGATGAGGTGGAAGAGGAGGAAGACAACGAGGAGAAAGAAGACGAGGAGGACGAGCAGGAAGAGGATGAGGAAAAGGAGGGGGACGAGCGAACGACACGCCCCGAGAGGTCGAACTGTTCTCCGAAAGGCCCATCGAAGATGGCAGGGTCTTGGATGGCCACGCCTGGCCTGCCTCCTCGGCAGTGACGCGGGCCAGGAAGGCCGCCATCCGCTGCCCGCAGGCGAGGGAAACGGCATCCCAGCGCGCAGGCTGGGCTTGTTCCTGTGGCGAACGCAGGACCCGGGTTTGTTTGTTCCTGTGGCGAACGCAAGATCGGAACATGCCTGGCACAAGGTAAACCTCGGCAGCTGAGGCAGGGGATCGCTCGAGGGATTGGGTCCCACTTCCCTTTTCCGAAGAGCGTTTGGGACCTCGAACCCTTGTCCTGGTTGGGGGCAGGCAGTTTCGCCCGAGTTTGGCCAAAGCGAGCGACAGGACGACGAGGAGAATCAGGAGGACGGTGAGGCGGGGGAGCAATGAGGAGCAGAATGGGGAGGAGGAGCAGTGAAGAGCACTGGGGAGGTGGAGAAACATTGGGGAACATGAAGGGGAGGAGGTGGACGGGTAACGAGGCGGGGCGGGCGCCGAGCGCCTTCGGCGGCAGCCCGCGCACCCGCGGGCGCCTCCTCGCGCGCGCGCGAACACGGCGCGCCGAGGGAGAAGCGAGAGAAGAAAGAGAAGACAAAGACAGAGAGAGAGAGAGACAAAACAACAAACACGATAGACTGGTCCGAGGCGAAGTGCTAGGCGCCGGCGCCGGCGCCAGTTTCGTTTCCCTCTTCCTCCTCACCCTCCTCCTTGTTCCGTTCCCCCTTTCTTCCCTTCCTCCTCCTCCTCCATTTCCTCCTCGCACGTTTTACGCTGCGCGGACTTAAACAACATAGCCTGGCTGTTTTGCTTACCGGACAAAACAACAAGGGGACGCGCCGCTGTTGTTTGTGGAGCTTGTCACAGGATGACCCTGCGACAACGTCACAGCGAATCGGAAGCGCTACGCGACCAAAAATCTCACTGCTGGCACTTCATTGTGTTGGGCTGCCGCGCACCTGTAATATGCCATGCTCGTGTGTTCGGCCGTACTCACGTGGTCCCCCGTGCTCTTAGGCTCTACCGTGCTGATATGGTATGCCATCCTGGCATGCCGGGCTGTTGTGGTCTGTCGCGCTGGTTTGCCGTACTGCTATGGTTTGCCGTGCTGGCCTGCAGCGCTCTTGTGGTCTGCCGTGCTGATTTGGCGCGCTGCTGTGGTCAACCGTGCAAAGCCGCTGTGCTGCTGTGGTCTGCCGTGCTGGTCAACCGTGCTGTTGCGGTCCGCCATGCTGGTCACGTGATCCTTGCTGGTCCGCCGTGTTTATGTGGTCAACCGTGCTTGTCTGCCGTGTTCTTATGGTCTACCACGTGCTAATCTGGAACTACGTGCTGGCTTGCATTGCTGCTATGGCCTGCCGCATTGGTTTGCCATGCTCCTGTGGTTTGCCGTGCTGCTGGGGCCTGGCGTGATGTTATGGTGCGCCGTGCTCCTATTGTGTGCCGGGCTGGTCTGCCGTGCTGCAGTGGTCTGCCATGCATGTCTGCCCTGATCCAACGGACCACCGCGCTACTCTGCAACTCTTAGGTGATATGCCGTGCTGCAATGGTCTGCCCCGTGCTATGCTGGTTTGCCGTGCTGCTGGGGTCTGCCATGCTGGTCTGCCGTGCGCTTGTATTCTGTCGCGCTGGTCTGTCATGCTCCTGTAGTCTGCCTCGTTCCTGTAGTCTGACGCGCCCCTGTGAAGTGAAATGAGGTGTCGCGGCCTCGAAGGCTTACTGGAAGAGGTCCACCGAGGACCGTGCCCCGATGGCGCTATCCCTACGAGAGGGCGCTAGGCGAAGGCCACCTTGGGCCGCGCGCTCTAAGGGGCATCCCGGGGGGCGGGCCCAAGCCATGGGAACTGCTGGGGGGCCTCTACGCAGGCACCTCAAACGCTGGGCCGCGCTCACCAAAGGGAAATACAAAACGCGATCGACATCCTGACAAACAACATCAGCACAACGATGAAACTCAGGACTCGCACATCAGGTAACAGATCGACATCTCCTCGCATCGGCTGTTCCGCAGGACCTCTCGAAGCGCTCTAACAGCAGAGGAGGAGACGTTTGCGCTGCGCCCAGCAGGCGACCCAACCGCAGTTGGCTGCGCCTGCCGCGCAGCCGCGCGCCGCGAGGCGCGACGAGGCGGGAGCCCGCACTCGAGGCCGTCGCGTTAACAGCGACCGCCGCGCGATCCCTTGGGCCCACGGGCTCACACCTCGCAGTATTGCTCGCCCCAGCTGAAGGGGCCCTGGGACACACAAGTAAATACACACAAATAAACAAGAATCCCCAATATTTGCACATATTTTCTGGGTTTTTCGTCTTCCCGCCCACTTCCCATATCTTCCCATATTTTCTAGGGCATCGACGATTACTTGTGTCTGTGCATTTTCCCTCCTGACCATCACCGCCTCACCTCCGCCTCTCGGCCACCGACCGGACTGCCCCCGAGGCAGCCGGCCGCTCCTCCAGGGCCCGCTCCGGCCTCTGGCCTCGTCGCCAGACGGCCTGTGTCAGGAGGGAAAACATACAGACACAATTAATCGTCGAGTCCCAAGGGAAATATGGAAAAATATGGGAAGTGGGGGGAAGACATCAACCCAGAAAAAATGGAAATATGGGGAAGCACATTATTTGTGTGTATTTATTAGTGTGCCCCAATTCCCCTTCACTGTGCTGGAAGCAGGGGCTGGGGCGCTGGCCGCGGCGGCCGCTGCTCCTCCAGCGTGACCATCGCCTCTGCTGCTGGCCTCGCCCTCCGCTCGCAGGGACCCAGCTCGCGCGCTCGGCTTTGAGCTCCTCGGTGGTGGGCGCCTCGCGGAGGCGCCGACCGCCTCTGCCGCTGGGGTGCTTGCCTTGGCCCAACGGCTGAGCTGCGATTCGCCGCGGCCCCTCCCCCTCCCCCTCCCCCCCCCCCTCCTCCTCCTCCTCCTCCTCCTCCTCCCCTCCTCCTCCTCCTCCTCCTCCTCCTCCTCCTCCTCCTCCTCCTCCTCCTCCTCCTCCTCCTCCCCTCCTCCTCCTCCTCCTCCTCCTCCTCCTCCTCCTCCTCCTCCTCCTCCTCCTCCTCCCTCTCGCGATTCGCCGCGGCCCCCGAGCGCGGCGCGCGCTTCCTAGGACCGCGCCCCCCATGGGGGCGTGCCCGCCGAAGACGTATGCAGCCCGCTTAGCTCGACCTCCTGGCCAGGCTGCTCCTCGGCGACGGCAAAACCGCCGCGAAGGTGGCCCTCTCGCTGAGGCCGCGGCTGGCCGACGTGGCCTTCCTTCGCTCCGCGCGGGCCTGCCTCGACTGCTCGGCGGACAGCCCCTCGATCGCGACGTCGCCGCAGGCGACGCGCGGGCGCTTGCGACCCCCCCCCCCGTTCAGGCATGCCCTCTGCGCCCATCGCGACGAGGTCCTGCAGGATGATCGATGCCTGAATGATCCAGCGAGCCAGCGCCGCGCCCGCTGGCGACAGCCCCTTGAGGTCAGCGCTGCTTCGACAAAGGGCGCGTGCACGGATGCCCTGCGCCTGGCGAGGCGGTCGGCATGACGGTTGCCAACCCGCGTTCCTGGAGGGATCCCGCCGCCCATGACTTGGCTCGACGCGCAGCGGGCTGGGGCCTGGTGGACCACGCAGTCGCTCGGCTCGAAGGCGGCGAAAAACCGGCACCGCAGGTGGGCGCCAGGCCTCGCCATCCCCGCGGCGCGCAGGCGGCCTCGCGCGAGGCCGGCCACTGTCGACGCACAGTCCACGTGGAGGCGGTCGACGCCAGACTTAGCCACCTCGCAGAAGCACCAGCGCGCCGTGTCCTCGCTATTATTCGCCGCCTGCCGCGGGCATAGGTCAGCGCGGCAGGTGTCAAAGCGCGCGGCCGCGAGATCGCCCCGCTCTCGCCGCCAGGAGATGGCCCGGCCCGCTCCACGGATGACGCTGAAATCGGAGTTGGGCGCAGACCCGTCGAGATCGGCGCCCGCCTAGCATGCCATCCGCAGGAAGCTGGTACAACTAGATCCGGCACTCGGAGCTGAAGCCCCACAGCCGCGGCATGGGCGCAGGCAGCCAGCAGCGCGCGAAGCCCTCCGCGGCTGCCTCGCCGCGTAAATTATAACACCCTGGCCGCGAACCTCTCCCGTCGACGCGAAGGGCCGTCCCGGCGAGCGCTGCCGGGGCACGGGCGCTCGAAGAAGCGATGGGAGAGAGCGCCATTCTGAGGACAGGCCAACGGCGACGTTACTTAACGGTGATGTAGGGAACCAAATTGTAGGAAACCACGAACCACGCCCTCCTATGTCTCCAGTCTGCGAATGGATCGAGCGAGCACGACGCAGCGAAATATAAGAAGCGCGAGCCCCGCGCTCCCGCGCTACCGAAAACCACATCGCCGTTACCTGCATCGCCGTCAGCCTTTCCACGGCCACTGGCGGCGCCGCACAGCCCACAGCGGCCGCGGGCACGCTGCCCAGCGAGCATAAGACGCCGCCGCGGCCAATGGGCGCCCGGGAATACCGGCACGACGGCCGCTGCGCCCCTGGCGCTCGCGCGGCCTCCCGGGCCGACCAGCGCGCGAGCTGGAAGATGGGTTGCACGTGGCGCCCGCCTCTTGCGCCGGGCGCTGCAACTCGCATCGATCGGGCGCCTGCCGCGCCCCGAGGTCAGACTGCCGGGCCACTCGGCGAAAGCGCGACCGATGCGACAGTCGATCCGCCCGAGCGCGTGGGCGAATGCGTCGATGGGCGAGCAGCAGTGCGCCCGCGGGGGCGTGGCGGCGCCATGTCGCGCGCCCGCCGCTTGAAGGGCCGTTCCGAGCATGCAGCCACTGCGCAGCAGGTCCGCTGCCATGGCCTCTGATTCGGACTTGGGCTGCTAGAGCGGCGCTATGTCCGCTCCCGGATCCCCAGACTGCGGGGCCCGCCGAAGGGCGGGCCCACGTCGCGCCAGCCTTCGGACAAGAAGGCTGTGAGGCTGCAGCAGCTCGCCAAGAAGTGGAACTGCTCGTCGCCGACAGGCAGGCGCCGCGCGCTCAGCTGCGCTGCGAGGGCATTGCCTGCGACGCCAAGCTGCGGCGCCCCCGATCTCTCGGCGCCGACCGCTTGGAACTCCGCGTTGTCGACCGCGCCCCTGGCCGGCGTTATAGTGGCCGCCCTGGCGCCGCTGCCAGGAGGGGCGTCAGATCGAGCGCCGCGCCGCGCGCGCCGAGCAAGGGGGGCGCCGGCGCAGCCATCGAGGCGAGGCGAGGATTCTGGTAGCGGACAAGGATTCCGCGGAAGAGTCTCAGGTCGAAGCCGCGGCCCAGCGCGGCGGCCCAAAGCGCGTCGCGCCGCAGGTCGTCAAACAGAAATTCTCGACGTGAAACACGGGGCCAACCGCCATGCCGCCGCGCTGCGCGCGCGAGGCGAGAGCGCTGTGGAGCCAGCCCGCCTTCCTGCATCCTCGATCAGCCCGGCCTCAGAATCAAGGACGGTCGCGCGCCGCCTCCCAGCTGCTGTAGAGCGGCCACCCCAAGCGGCTCCGCAGCCCCATCGGGAGGGGCATTAGGGCGATGGGCCTGGCGCCTCCCGAGGCCCCCGGGATGAACGAGACCATGGTGGCCGTTCTCGGGGCGCTGCTCGAAATCCACCATCAGCTCGATGAGGCGCTCCTGCACAGCAGCAAGATCTGCCCGAGTTGCATCGGGTCAACAAAAAAACGCAGAGGGCGAGGGGCAGCGGCGACACACCCTCCGCAACTGATCAACGCTGATCGGCGGCACCGTCCAGGCGCCGATGTCCCATAGCTCGGCTCCTCGCCCGTTCCCATAGCCCCCCTGGCGCCAAATGCGCTGCCGGTCGGCCTTCAGCCAGACGCTCGTCGCCATGCCCCAGAGCGGCCGCCCAGTCTTTGGGCCCTTGCACACTGGTGGGGCTGACGCTTCGGCGAAGCGGCGGGCAAGCCCGCCTCCTCGCTGCGCCGCCTCAGCTGCTCACGCTCGCCACTCGGCGCGGCCGCGGGCAGCGTCGCGGCGCTGAGCCCCATGGCGCCGCTGCAACTCAGCAATCTCGCGCTCGCCGTCGACCGCAGCCTCGGTGCTCAGGGCCAACCAATCCCTTCCCCCCCGCGTCGGGGCGTGCGCCGCCCTTCTTGGCGGCCGGCAGGGCGCGCCCAAGCCGATGGCCTCGGCAATCAGCTTCGCGCTCGCACCTGCCGTGGAGGTCTGACTGGAACTCGCCAGATCCTCAGCCTCGATCGTCTGACGCACCAAGTCCAAGCACCCAGTCTGGCGAGTCCGCTCGGAGCGGAGCACTCCGTACTCACGGTTCACCAGCGCGCTCGTCGGCTTGCACTGTGGACATGGCCCGCCCCCATCGGCCGCAGCAGGGTGCGACCGGCACGGCGACGCCGTGGGTGCCGACGAGGGCGCCCTCCGCAGCCTCCATCCACAGCTTGAGCCCGGGCTCGAGGGGCGGCCTGGAGCCTGACTGCCGGGCCCACTCTACGCTGGCAGGCTGCCGGGATCCGTCGAATCACCTGCAACAGCTCCCCGCCCTCGAGGACCCATGAGCCTCGAAGCCCTCGGATTCGACGTCGGGGAAACCGCGGGGCCGCCGGCGGGCCTGCGCGATGGAGGTGGGCCTCAGGTCCTGGAAGAGCAGCTCGACGGGCGTGCGCGGGCGGAGCCTGGAACCGTGAACTGCTCCGCATACGCGCGCGCGGCGTGCGATGCGGTGCGCGAGCCGACAAACCAGTCGCACGTCCGTTCCTGCTGGTCCGCGAAGCACGCGTGGGCCGAATGCCAAAAAAGAAAATCGATGTGGCTCTAAGGCCAGCCCAATCTGCTGGGCGGGGCCCGCGCCTCGCCGCACGCAGTTGGCGAGCGTCGGCGGTCGCCGCGACTGGCCCCCCCGCCGCGGCGCGCAGCGGCGCGCCCCTGCGGAGCTTGTCCGAGGAAGCGGGCCGCAGCCCGTCCAAGAGGGCGGCGGGGGCGGGGGCGGCGGCGGCCAGCCGCTCGCGCGCCTCGCCCTTGCCCGACGCCCGAGCCAGCGCTCCGCGACGCGCGCGGGCCCGCGCGCAGCCCTGCCGCGCCCGCGACGGGCGCCGCCGGCCCGCGGTTCGGCGCGTCGCCGCGCCGCGGTCCGCTCGGCGCGAGGACGTCGCCTGCTGCTGCTGATGCTGAGTCAGCCGTGCTGGTCTGCCACGTGCCCGTGGTCTGCCGAGCTGCCGCGGTCTGCCGCGCTGTTTTGTTTGGTTCTGCCGTGCTCCTATTGTTTGCCGCGCTGGTCTGTCGCGCTGAAATAGAACGGCGGAGGCCCACGCCATAAAAAAAAGGCCACTGGGGGGCGAGGCCAAGGCCGAGAAAAGCGCGCTTTGGCCCCGAGGAGCAAAGCACAGGACGGGGGAAGAGGGCGGAAGACCACGCAGCCCGAAAAAAAAAAAAAAAAAAAAAAAAAAAAAAAAAAGGTCCCTCCGCCAAGGTCGCAACTCGACGGAACCGCCTGGCGCGAGGAACATACCGACTCGCGCTCGAAACGGTTGACTCAATGGCATCGTCGATGATATCGATTGCAGTAAAGCGTGTAAGGTCGGCAGCCTCCTGCGACTCTGCGCGCAACCCCAACCATCTGAGGTACTTGTCCGTCAGCTCGTCGGTAAGCAACATCCCAGTAGTCGGCGATCGCCCAACCTACCAGTCGCCTTCAGGCTACTTGCCATGCTCCCACCTGCGGAGCAGGTCGTGCGAAGACCTGCACCCTCTGGGCGCTCCAGCCCCCAGGCGACATAGGCGACATCGCCCGCCCACGGCGACATAGGCGCCGCGCGCACTGCAGCCGACCAGGTGGGTCTCCTGGCCGGGCTCCCCGTCGGCCAGGGCGAAGCGCAGCACGTGGCCGACGACGATGGCCGCGGCTGGCAGCCGTCGCGCGCAAGGGCTCCGCGCGAGGCTGCTTCGCCTGTGGAGCTGAGGGCGCGCGGGCGGGCCTAGCCACTTTGACCTCGTCGTAATCGACCTGCGGCCGCATCCTGCCGTCGCCCTCTGGACTGCCCTCGGTGTCGTTGGCCTCGCGCTCCTGCAACATGGTCGAGACCTGTGTGATCCCCGTGGCCAGTTCCGCGAACACGAGCGCGGGACCCAAAAGTACCGCAATGCCTCCGCTGGCGCCGCATGTAAAACTGCTCGTCGCTTGGCGAAAATGCCCGCGTGCCTGTTGCCTGCACACTTCGCTGGGGCGAGCTGGCCATTGAGGACATAGCTCCACGTGAAGTGCTGTGAGATCTCGTGGACCGAGTAGCCGCCGAGGTCGAAGGTGGCGAAGTACCGCTCCGAAAGGTGGGAGTCGGGTCGGTTGAACCCTGAGGCGCAGACCGCACGTTTGATGGCGCTGATCTGGGACTCGAGAGCCGAGGATCCAAATACAAGTGCCCGCCAAATCGACCGTCAGGACGTCAAGTACCCGCCAAACCGCCGAGGATCCAAGTACAAGTACAAGTATCAACATATCTGGTCGTCAGGACTGCGGACCTGCAGCCTCGGCATGGGCGCAGGCAGCCAGAAACGCGCGAAGTCGTGCGCCGACTCCTCGCCGTGCTGCCTCACCCTGTTGGCGCAGCGCTTCGGCCGTGGTGAAAAGCTGCCCCGGCGCGTGCTCGCAGCACGGGCACTCGAGGAGCCTGTGGAACAGCACGCCGCAGGCTGCGCCACACAGCCCGCAGCGCCCATGGGCGCGACCTTGAGAAGTCGCTGCTGCGGCCACTGGGCGCTCGAGAATAGCAACACGAGGCAAAGACGACCGACGAACGGCGGGGACAAATACGACGAGCAACGATGCAAGGCCGAGGAATTTCGAGATCCTGGCGTCGCAATCTTCCCGCATCAAGCGATGTTGCCTTGTTCCGGGCCACGGGTCCTTCACGGATCGGACCGGCTCGAAACATGTAGCAGAAAGATGGGGGTCACAAACTTTCGGAGGTCGGCGCGAATTTCTTGGGTCGGCGCTGTCAAGGGAATCTGGCGCCGTTGATTGCTCCTTGATCTGAATCCTCCGACCGTCTCTTCTCCCCGTCTGTGTTTCCCCCCACTGGTGGCGGATGCCGGCGCTGCTGGAAATGGTGATAACAATGACGACGATTACGAGCAATGATGACCCAAAGCTCATGGCGTCGTACCTTTTTGACAACGGGCGATTTCGCCCTTGTTTCGGGCCAAGGGCTCTCACGGATCGGTCCCGCTCGAGCATTGCCCGCAGAAAGGTGTGGCCCAGGTGGTCCTGACGGGGCTTACGATGCGGCATTGCGATCGTGACGTCGGATCTCAGGGTACGAAGAGTTTTTTTTTGTCCGCGATCCTTGTCTAGCATGCCCTCTCAGGGTACGAAGAGTGATCGCGACAGCGACGACGACATGGCGGTACAGCAACCCCGCCACTGAGCTCGTGGCGACGGGCGCGCCCCCAGCCATCTGGAGCCCTAGAGGACTATCGCTGCCCTTGGCGAAACGAATCCCCAGACCCCCGACGTCCTGATTTGCGCAACGTCGACCCCACGTGTCTCGAGTGCTTCCCCAGGACAAGTTTTTTCATTCTGGGTCGCTGGTGGACGGCACCGAGGCCCAATGGGCCCCCCGAGACCAAAAAATAGCGAACACCTCCCGGTAACCTCCCGCCCTACTTTTTGCAACACGAGGGGCGGAGGGGGTCGTGGTAACCAGCGCCCCCAGCAAACGACGCCGACGATACACGCTATAAGGATCAAGACCGGCGGGCGGCCCCCCGCCCTCGGTTCCGCCGTACCTTGGGCGAGGTTCGCAAGCAGGGCGGGAGTTTCCGCCCTGTCTTTCGGAGGCGTCCAAGAGGGGGGCGTCCGAGAGGGGGGGGCGCAAATCATGGCCAACGGCATGAAGTGAAAAGACGCGGCATGATATCTACCCCCCCCAAGTCATCACCCATCTCTTGGCCGTCCCCGAGCCATTCAAGCTCTGTTGATGCCGATCTCCGCCCTACCCTGCCGTCGTTGCTTCCGCCCAAACCTTCGCGGAAACTACATCCGCCCTACCTTTCGGAGGCGGGACTTTCCGCCCCACCGTTTCGCTTCGTTTGGGGACCAATTCCCATGCAACAAAAATAGGAAAACTTGTCATCGCTCGGACGTCCATTCTCCGTGCATGTTTCGGTATACTGCGTTTATTTGTCGCAAGGTTGTCCAGGATGCTCCTTGATGGCCCTCGCAGGGGAAAAATGCAGACGTGCAAGCGGTGCCAAGGAAATGAGCTGAATTTCGGCGGATCCGAAGTCAGTGGGGAGTGGCCGGCGAGGGCCGGCGAGCGGGGCGGGGACCAGCAGGAAGTTCAGCAGCAGGCCGCGTGTCTGCGGCGATATCCTGGCGGCGGGGCGTCGTCGTCGTCGAACGTTGTCGGCCCTCGGTGCACTGCGCGGCGGCACGGAGATCGTCGTCGTCGTCGTCGTCGTCGTCGTCGTCCGCCTCCTCCTCCTCCTCCTCCTCTTCCTTCTTCTGACCCTTCTCCTCTTCGTTGTCCTCCCTCTCATCCTCCTTACTCTCCCCCTTCTGATCCATCTCCTTCTGCCTCATCCTTCCTCCTCCTCCTCTTCCTCCTCCCTCCCTCGGCACCCCCCTCTCTTAAGCCACTCTCGGCGTCTCGTCGCGACGTGCTTGTGGCAACCTGGAGATCCTGCAGCATTCACAGGTGTGGGTCTTGCTGCTATCGATGGGCTGGCTTAGACCGAAAGAAATTCATACAGGCACTGTTTCCTCAGCAGCTTCCTCATCGGTGCTGGCCACGTGTGACTTTGTGCTTTACTTCGTCCACGTCGCTTTCGTGCTGACAGGGTGCAGGTTGGGCCCTTGTGCAAGTGTGTGTTCAAGCTTTCGTGTGCATCGCTTTCGTGGTCCGTCCTAGGCTGCAAGGGCAAAGGGGAGAGCCGCTGGCATTTACCCACCCACCTGCGGTCTGGGCGTATTTCAGGCGAGCGGGTGTTGCTGTGAACACCGTCGTGGAGGACATCCGCCCCAGGTGCAGAATCGATGGGGGGAGCCGCTGGCATTGACCAACCCGCCTGCTACCTGGGCGTATTTAAAGCGTTGTGCTGGAGTGGTGGCTCTTGGTATGCATTGGGCGTTCGTGGGGCCCTCTCCCAATCCCACCGTGTCCACTGTCGCTCTCTCTGGCCATAAATGTGTATGGTCGATCCGTTTCCTTGCATAGAGGCTGGGAAGATGTCAAGAGGTCAATTCGTTTTCGTACGCGGGTACGATGTTTTGTCTTGGTATTGCGGGGCTGTCTGTGGAGGGGGCAATCTCTTTTGGAGGTTGCCCGATGACCAGTGATGAGTTGTCACATCTTTGAACAAGGACCGCATCGAACCAATCTCACCTCAACTGAACTTTGTCAATCTCTACGGTTTGGGCCGTGCACGTCTCCTACCGTTCCCTCATCTACTTCGAGATGGTCAGTGGGTGGGCTTAGTTGTTGATTCGTACTGTGGACATCGTCCTGGGACTCTTACTCTTACTCTTACTCTTACTCCTCCTTCCTTCCCCCGTTGCTGGCGACGATGGCCGTAGGCGATGGCCGACGACGGCGCCGACCCCGGATGCCTCTGGGTATGTCCCCGAAGGCCTCATGCGGACGCCTCCGGACGGCCCTGAGGGGCCCAAAAGCATGGGCCCGAAGAGAACCAGAAGCGCCCAGAAATACCCAGGGATCCGACGCCGTTTTTTTTTCAATACGGGGTCCCCGGAAGTCTCGACCCAATCCCCAGGACCGGTTTTTCATCCTTAGTCGTTTTGTTGACGGTCCCGAGGCCCGGCGAGGGCCCCTGGGGGCCAAAATCCGCCGGCCCCCTTGTGGGGCCACCAGGTTGTAGGGCGAAGGTTTGCAGTTTCCTGTGCCAGTTGCAGCTTCCAGTTTCCACTGTTGCAGTTCTGCTTCTTGCTGCTTACTGTTCCTTGTTGATGGACCGCGCGAGGGGGGGGAGGCCCAAACGGGCAAGTTTAGCACGCCCTGAGCGTGTGCTCTGAATTGATTGGGTGGGTAAAAATTGACACCCCTCACGCAGATCGGCGGGGTCAGGGTCCAAAACACATAGGATTTGCCGCATTTCGGAATTTCGGTTGCACCCCTCACGCAGATCGGCGGGGTCAGGGTCCAAAAACACATGGAATTTGCAACATTTCTGAAATTAGCTGGCACCCCTCACGCAGATCGGCGGGGTCAGGGTCTAAAAACATTATGGATTTCCCACATTTCTGAAATTCGCCGGCACCCCTCCAGGGGATTCTCAACATGTTCTGAAGTTCGCCGGCACCCCTCACGCGGATCGACAGGGTCAGGGTCCAAAAACACATGGGATTCGCCACATTTCTGAAATTCGGCGGCACCCCTCACGCAGATTCGTAGGGTCAGGGTCCAAAAACACATGGGATTTGCTACACTTCTGACATTCGGTGGCACCCCTCATGCAAATCCGTAAGGTCAGGGTCGAAAAACAAACAAGTCCCGACACTGCTTCACGGCGGCGCCCAGACCTCGTGATTTAGGTTTTGCATCTCCCATTGTCCGAGACAGGGGGCCGGCGGCATGGGGCGAAGCCCTTACGGATTTGCGAAAACCTCCGTCCTGATTTGTTCCATCCTTTGGATCTCTGGGAATACCTCGATCCTCCCCCTCGAGACGACCCCCCCTCTGAGCAGGGACCGACCGTCCCGGCATTCCCATAGTCCTACCACGAACTGGTCTCAGAACCCAGCGATGTTCTGAGAGCAGAAACAGGTGTTCTCAGAACGCTAACCCGATGTGTCAAAACAGGACAGACTCCGCCAGAACTGTTCTAAGAAAATGTCGTGCAAACCACGGAAGGTTCCTCAGAACGTTGTTTGGGAGGGCTACAGGCGAGCCAGGACGCTTCGCCACTGGTCGACTCCCGGCGGGCGAGGACAGCCCCCTGGCGGGACCCGTCTCCTCAGCAGCACGGAGCGGTCCACCGGCTCCCACGCGGGCGACGAGAGGCACAGGAGCGAGGCCTCCGCGCAGTGCGCGCGCGCGCGCGCGCCGCGAGGCCCTCCCCCTGTCACCTTCTCTTACCCTCCTCCCTCTTTCCCCATCACTCCTCTCCCTCCTCCTCCTCTTCCGCTCCTTCCTTCTCCTCCTCCTCCTCCCTCCTCCTCCACCTTTTCCTCCTCCCTCCTCTTCCCCTCCTCTCTCCTCCTCCTCCTCCTCCTCCTCCTCCTCCTCCTCCTCCTCCTCCTCCTCCTCCTCCTCCTCCTCCTCTTGCCTCTCCTCCCTCCCCCTCCTCTACCCAACACCTGCTTCTGCTTGCGCCCGTCGATCCAGTCTTCAGGATGCTGGACATTCCGAGAGGGCCCCATGCAACGGTCCCTGTGGAGCTCACGGGCCTCTTGGGAAGGGCGCGGATCTGGCAAATGAGCGACGGAAAGAAACGGGCCTTACGCAAGATTGCATAGCGACCCTGCGCGGTACCTTACGCGGGCCGCCAGCGCGGCAGGCTGCTGTGGAAACCCAGGCGCTTTCGCGCGACCTTACGCGGGAATCTTGCGCGCGAAATTCCGAGAAGTCTAGGCCGCTTGCTTTTGCCACTCGAATGCTTGCTCCTCGTGGGAGGCGAAGCCCAAGGATCTCCCAGAGGTAGGTCGTGGGAAGGGAGCTTACAACCCCAGGCCCAAGAGAGGCCCCGGGCGAGTGGCTCTAAGTGGAGGCGGCCGGAGGGTCTGAGCTGGACGGGTCGGGAGGGGGGGCGGAGCGACATCCGTTCAAAAGCTGTCCACAGACTGCTCCCGGGGTCCACGTGCACAAGTTGTTCCGGCCGCGTCCAGCCGTGGCAACGAGAAGCCCCCAGGAGGTCAACGAAAACGAGAAGGCCACTCCCGCCCCTTTCGAATGACCCGAACAAGTGTTGGGCCACCTCAGACCTCCAGCCGACTCCGACCTGTTGAACCTGCTTCAACCGACCAAGCGACCTCCCAAGACGCTGACCCCGAGGAGAAGGTCAAATTTGCAGGTCGAACGAAGGGGTGCGAGTCTAGCCAGATGCCCTGCGCAGCCCCTTGGCGTCACGAGTCAGCCATACGCTCAATAAGCAGCACTGCAAAATGGCTACAACTTCGCGAGATGTTGAATCAGATTCTGGGCTTGACGAAGATAAATGGGCGGGCGGGGGTGACATGGGGGAGGCTCTCGGATCTCGGGTCTCGCTCAGCATAGTCAGCCAGTGTCTGCTCTCGGCTTCTTTCGGAGCTGTCAGGTCAATATTGTGTGAGTGAGTGGTCAAAGGGCCGAGAGACCCAGTGTTGAACCCGTCGAGTTGCAGAAGATGGGGCGGCACCCATGCAATGTTTCTGCCGTGGCGCGGCAGAGGCGATCCGCTCGTGCGGCCAGGCAGCCTGGGCTACTGCGTTTGGAAGTGCCCCGCGTGCAAGTGGAGGAGGAGGGAAAGAAGAGAGCCGGCCGCAGAGAAAGGAGGCGGTACAGTGGAGGCCAGTCCACAGCCAACCTTCCACAAGAAGCTCAACCCTGAGACCCCAGGATGTCCATTGATCTTTGGTGTGGGAACGTCGCGCTGTCCACGGCGAAACCATCGAAGCCCAAGAAACCCAAGGCACCCTGCAGGCAAGCAGGGCGGTTCTTGGCATGGGCCTCCACTGTAAGAAGGCGCACTGGCGCGGCGAGGCCGCGGGGGGCAGCACCCGTGCGGGCCTGGCAAAAGACTGCGCAAGCCTCCGTGCCGGAACGGGGGGGTCGCACAGCACACGGGGTTCACGCAGGGGCCCCGACCCTCAGCCAGCCAGAGGCGGCGGTCCCCACAGGGGTTAGGTCGGGCCTGCCCCCCCCCACAAGGGGGATGTTGGGCGACACATTAAAGATACTCAGCACATACCCCAAACATGCCCGAACTTAGCTTTAGAGAATCGTCCCCAGACAACACATCGTCTGGGGACGATGTTGTAAAACTATTGTTTGGGCATGTTTGGAGTATTTGCTTAGTATCTTCAATATTTCGCCCAAAATCTAGGGCTCCCAACTTCGCGCTTCGCGCTCCGCGAAGCGCGAATAACTTCGCGCTCTCGCGCCGCCCACCAAAAGGGAATCAAGGGCGACGAGGAGGAGGGGGAGAAGGAACGAGGACCGCGAAGCGCGAATAACTTCGCGCCCTCGTTGGAGCCCTTGAACATCCCCCTGCGGGGGGGCAGTCCCGACTCGACACCTGGGCCGAAGCTAGGGGGCCACATGCGAACCCTACCCCTACCCCCCTCGATTTCCGAGGGGGAGGGTGGGGCTCACTTCGCTCGAGAGCTCCCGAACGAAGTGAACCCCACCCCCCCCCACAGAAATCGTAGGTGGTAGG